ATATTAAAAACCTTAGGAATATATTAGCTTTTTTAAGACTTATTAACTTTCATTAATACTTCTTTAAAAACTATTCTAAGATAGTATTACGACTTATAAAACTTATTTAAAAAGATGTTTTATAAGAATAGTTAACTAAATAATAAAAGCTTTTAAAAAAATAAAGACCTATATAAGCTTAAAGCCTATTATTTATAATTCTAAACCTTATAAAGCTTTTTAAGTTAGAAGCTAAGTTTTTTTTTTTTATAATAAAATAACTTATATATAAAATGATAAGAATATATTTTATTTCTATATTTTTTTATTTTTACAAGCTTTTTAAACTAGAATATAATTATTAGATTTATAATAAGAAACTTATAATAGTTATTAAGCTTTTAAATAATAAAGACTATAGCTTTTAAGAACTAAACATAAAGTTAAAGTTTATATTAATTATAAGAACTTAACTTATTTTATAGTATCTAAGAAAATTATAAATTAAATAAAATAATTAAATTCTTTTCTAAATCTAACTTTAAAACTATTTATTATAAAGAATTAAAGAGTAATAAAGCTAATAATATTAGTTAACTAAAGCTTATAATTCTAATTTTAAAAAAAACCTAGGTTAATTTTAAGAATATAAAGGAGGATTATATATATATATATGTTATATATATATAGAAACTTTTGATAGCTAGTATAGAATTAGGATTAATATATTTAAAAAAATAACTTATAATTAAATTAGAGAAATTCATAATATACTTATATATAGATCTAAAGGAGTTATTTAAACTTAAAAAAGTTAGTTATTTCATAATAAAAAAGTATTAAGAAAGATATTATTAAAATGATTAAAGATTATAAAATCTATAAAAAGTAAACTTAGTAAATATAAACTATATAAAAATAAATGTTATTAATATTATTAATAATATTTATATTATAATATTTAGTTTTCCTAGACTTTATAATAGAACTATTAAAATTTAGATAACTTTTATTAAAATAAAATATAATAGTATATAAGTTATATTAAATAACTTATTAAGAATATTTATATTATATTATTTCTAAATTTTAGTATAATTAAAAACTTAATATATACTTTTTTAGGATCTTATTAATTAACTATAAGATATTTTTTAAAAAAAACAAAATTAATAAAGTATTATTCTTAATATCTAAATCCTAAAGATCTTTAATCTTATAACTAAAAGTCAATTATAAACTTAGTATTACTTTTTACTTATAATTATTAAATAAATAAAAGAATTAATTAACTTTAGAAATATACTTAAGATATTATATTAATATAAATAGAATACTTAAGCTATACTATTAATAATAATATAATTTATATAAATAAATAATAGAGAAGTATTAAAGAATTACTTTTCTTTCTTACTTATAAATTTAACTTTATTACTTATAAAGAACTTAAATAAGTTTTAAAGTAATGAAAGCTATTTTAACTATTAAGAGCTAAATAAAGCTTTAAGAAAATATAAGGGTTAGTTAATAAGAGGCGATGCTTATAATATACCCTGCCTAGGCTATCCCTTAAATATAGTTATATAGGTTAATTCTAGTACGTAGTATTAGAATTCTAGATTTATAGTCTATTAGCTAAATAAGTAAGCTACTCTATTAATTATAGAAAACTTATTAAAAAACCTTAAATTATATATAATAAATAGAAAAATATTTAAACTATTTAAAATAAAGTAATTTTCTTTAAAAGGAGATAATATTTACTTACTTAGATATAATATTAAAATATAATAACTTAGTAATAACTTAATTTTAAAAAACTAGAATACTAGTTTATTTAGATAAGTAAAATAAATTATTTAGATACTTTTAATATTATTTATAATTTTAAAATATATATTAACTAAGTAGCTATAATATAGAATTTAAACTATAGTATTAAGTATTTTAAAGTATAAATATACATAATTATACTATTATAAGAAATTATAATAATAATATAATTATTAGTAAGTAAACTAGAGTTTTCTTATTATATTTTAATAATAATATAGTATTATAAGTCTTATAATAAAGATTAATTAAGTAAAAAATTTAACTTAAAAAATAAAATATATAAGTATAATTCTAGTCTAAGATAACTATATAAGGTAGTAATAAAGATTTAATATAAGTCTCTATATATATCTTAGAATATAATTTCTAAGTTTTATAAGTAAAGTATATATAAGTATTACTATTATAAATACTAGCTTAAAATTAACTAAACTTATTAAATATTATTAAAAAACGTTATTTAACTATATAAAAAGTAAGTAAACTACTTTATACTTCTAGCTTCTAATATTATAGTAATATAATTTAGATTATTAATTAAAATACTTATTTATAATCTAATCTTAATAAAATCTACTTAAAGACTTTAATTATAATAAAATATAATTAAACTATATCAAATTATACAGTTTTAATACTTTAATATAAATTTAGTAAATACTTTAACTCTAACTAATATTACTACTTAATTAATAATAATTTTATTTTATTTATAATTATTATTAGTCTTAGTATTATTTAGTAAAATACTAATTAAAAATTCTTTTATATATAAGAAGAATAGTTTTATAAATATTATATATTATTCTATTAAATAAAGTATACTTAATAAGCTATTACTAGATTATATATACTATATTAAAATATAGTAAATAGTTTAACTATAAAACTAAATCCTATATTATTATTAAACTTTATCTTTTAAGTTAGTTAAGAATAACTAATACTTAAGGATTCTTAAAAGGTAATTAATAAATAATAAAGCTTTTAAAGAATTATAATAAACTTTAAGAATATTTAATAGTTAATTATATTATATAACAATAAGTATTAAAGAAAGTTATAATTATTATATTATAAGATAATAATAATATATATCCTTTATATATATAAGCTTAGAAAATATTTAAGTATATTTACTTACTATATAAGTAATAATATTAAATAAGTAATACTTATCAAAACTATTAAAAAAGTATTTATCTTAAATAAAATTTAATTATATAAAATCTTATCCTTAATAAGTATACTTAATTAGACTCTTATACTATAAGCCTAATTACCTAGTTAATAATTAATTCTATTTATTATTATTTCTATTATAAATTAAGTAGCTAAAGAGTAATCTTATATTTAATATAATTATATAGTTTCTATACTATATATAACTTCTTATCTTCTTCTCTTAAATATTTTATTATAATAAGTTAGTTATTTATAACTAATAACTATTATTATTATATTATCTAAACTAAAAGCTTATTTATTTATATTATAAAAACTATAATATTATTTAACTAAAATACGATAATATTAATTTTATTAATTAGAAACTAGAATAGATACTTATATAACTAATATATATATTAATATAGTTACTTAAAGATATAATTAGTAAGAAAAGAATATTTAAAATCTAAGAAGTAAAGTTTTTTTCTTTAGTAATATAATAACTTACTATATTTTTTTTAACTTTATTAACTAATAAATTAACTTAAAAAGATAGTTAAAAGAGAGAAATAATTATTAAAAATTAAAATACATTAACTCCTAACTAAGAAGTAAATTACTTAGTTTAAAAACTTATTATTATATAAAATAAGTTACTTATTTATATATAAAACTATTTATTAAAGCTTTAGAATAAATAACTAACTCTTTAAAGTATAATTAGCTTATAAAAATAGGAAAATTATTTCTTTCTTAACAAATCTCTAAATTATAATAAAGATTATTTACCTTATAAGTATTTAGTATTTCTATTAAAAGAAAATATTTAAACTATTACTTAATAATAGATAACCTTAATTAGAGTTATATATTTATAAAGCTTTTATAAGATTAATTACTTAGTAATTATATTATTATAATATATTTTATTATTATATAATTATAATACTAGTAATAGCTGTTTAAAAGTAACTAAACTCTTATTAATAGACTTATTATATTTTATTAATTCTTAGCTAAAAGAAAAGATATTAATATTATAACTATTTTTAGTTACGTTACTCTTCTTAGTTACTTTCTAAGTAATATATTAAATTAAATTTAATATTTTCTCTGAACACTTATTAATAAAAAGAATTCTTATATACTTTGATTTTATTATAATACCTTCGTAGTAAAGTATATAGCCTCGCTAGTATATAACTTACTTATTACCTATAGAGATATCCCGAAACAAGATAACTAGATTATCTTTAATCTATTTCGTTTATAAAATATATTTAGAAATAATACTATTTTATAATATAATTAGGAGAAGACAAGCTACTTATTTACTATTTTAAATATATATCTACGTTTAGTACTTTACTTTACTATAGATTTTAAATAAATCAAGAGTATTTACTTTAATAAGATATAATATAGAATAATAGATTAATACTACTATACTAGGCTTTAATTACTAAAGTATTATAGATATATATTTTCGTAGTTAGAGGACCTGGTAGACGAAGCGTTTAAGGTTGCTTTGATTGATATGGGGGATCGAGGTTGGAGGTTTAGAGCCACACGTTGGCTTCTGCCGCAATCCGGACTGGTCAAGTTGTATCATCTCTTCTCTGGTGCTTTGGGCCCCTTATGTTATTTCATCGTTGACCAATTTACGTAAAAGCTGATGTGTTGGATCATTGAAGCATCTTCAGCTCTGCGAAACATGAAACTTTAAGAAATTTAGCTTCTGACTATTCTAAGTCCCTAGAGAGGCGTGTAGATGCTCTCCACCAGAGCCCAGTTGATTAGTAGGTTCGTAATAGTTGGAGAGATGTCAAATCTTGTAGAACGAGAAAAGCGGAAGGACTGAGTCAAAGAGGCAGGAGTCTAGAAGGCCATGAGGCTCAGCGGGAGCGTTGGCATACTCCCTAACGACGACATGTTATAAGTAAAAAGAGAGAACCTGGGATGGAAGGAAGCATCATTGTCACGGGAAGAGGGGACAGATTATATTGCCCAAGATGGGTAGGCAGGCTGCTGTTCGCAACCTGGAAGTCGACACGCCAGCCCAGCAGCCGAGGCAGATTCGACCGTGCGTTGCAAAGCTCCATTGGCAGCGACTCTAGGTGGGAGAGCTGAGTCGTGGTAAACGAAGGACCAGTATGTGAGTAAGGCAAGCGAGGAATAAGCAATAAGGGGCGGCGAGCAAGAGACGCCCAAAACCGATTTCTCGAGGCCACTAGAGCAATATTGGCAGCACGATACCAACCAGGCTGACGTGGTAGTCTTGTGCTTTTTCTCCTCCGTCATTATGCATTAAAATCGGCATCAAGGTCGCTCTCATTTTCGGAACGTAGGTTGCCGATTCCCCCAGTAAGGTTTCCAATAATATCTAACACATATTCGCTAACAACATCGAATACACCCCCTGCGCCGTATGTCTCTAAACTAACAACCGGTACGGCGTAGAGTGGCTCATGCTCCTCGAAGCCGCCCTATGCGGCATCTCGGCCGGCCTCTTCCGAATAATTGAGGCCGTAATCGCCATCGCCTCCCTCAAGCCGTGGAACAAGGGTAAGGCGCTGGGGTACTGGCTGATATACCGCCTCTGTGGCCTGATCCTCGGCGGTGTGATCAACCTTGGCCTCAAAACGGATAACAACCAGGCAGAAAGGGTGTCTTACGCCGTCTCTACCACCATCCAGGCCGCAGGTACATTTGTCCGGTTGTTCCTGAATAAGCTGGAGAGGGTGGAGAGACAAGACGAGACGAGGGCCAGATGCATTATTGGCTTGACGGATAAGCGACATCACCTTTTCTGTGGAAAAGGTACACCTGGAACCGCTCTACCGTACTGCTTTGACTTCTCAAGGATGGTCTCATGTCTTGCGTAGCTGATACTGGAAAGCCTGGCCCTGTCGAATGCTCCTCGTGGTTGATATCGGTCGTCCGGAAAAGTCGGCTCTGAGAAATGGTGGTTTGGCTGTTCAGACTTGATCTCTCAACTGAAAATTAACTTCACTAGGCATTGAAGAGCGCTGATAGGCACGCCGAATTCCGAGTGAGGTGTTCAAGATTTTGTTGGAGAATTGTTGAAGGAGTCGAAGAGGCTTCCAGAGGAAAACCACGAGAGGAAAAGACGTAGCGTTGCTTGGACCACAGAGACAAAAAGGGGCCCGGGTGTGTACGGACAAGTTGCGGCATGCGTGTGACGGAATTTACAACGCTAGTAGGGGATAGCGACTCAATTTTGCTGGTGTTATTAAGAAAAAGGGGAGTAAATCTTTCTTTCTCGACGGACAGCAACTGTCTAAAGCCCCGCTTGTGACGGGCTTCGTTGCTTCTCGCTGTCTCAAAGCATGAAGGAGCCACGCAGTGGTTGTCTGGCTCAGAGAACCAGTAACTACTTGAATTAGATCTGTCCCATTCAGTATCATCATCTCTGGCACCCTGGCTTAGCTTAAGATGTTCTCTGCCTTGCTCAGCCATTTCCTCACGGCCGCCCCTGAGCCTCACTGGCCGTCATGTCCCTGGCTCTAGTGCCAGACCATCAGGGCCATGATCGGACCATATGAGCGTCATGTCTTGGAAACATCGTCATGTTTGTTTAGAAGACGGTAGTAACCCAAGCTCATGGTGGATGCCCTCGCTGTTCCGACGCTTTAACTTACCAGTCGCAAGGATAGTGAAGCAGTTCAACATGTCCATTCTTGGGAGCAGAATACCATATCAAGCTCCGCCTTCACACAAATGACTAGATCGCCTAAGAAAACGCCATACTTACGCTAGGAGCCAGAGCTCCCCCAGCTCATGTAACCCTGATGCCTGGCGTACCCCCTCACTCACCCCCGTAACTTTATTCCAATCCGATCGCAACCTACACTTTCGGAACTAAGGCCGTAGTACGGCACAAGTATCTTTAGAAACTGTCAAGTTGACAGGCCGGGCATGTCCTCCTAGATACTTAGAGCCAGTTGACGAGTTCGTCAGGCATTAGTACTAGCGATACCAGGGATTAAGCTAGCAACGACAACATACCTGCTAGTAAAACGACTCGCAACCATGGTTTCTGGATCTGAACGCTTGTATTCAACTCTAATCACAGAGAACAAATATAGTAGTTATGAGAGACTGCTTCGAGATACTTCTTGCGTAAAATAGGTTTCTGTCATTGCAAGTGGAAGAGGAGCCTCTCTTTGTTTCGAGTTCCCTACATTTCATCTGTGGTCCTGAGTTTGACTCCGGGACGCAATTAAGAGCTCAGTCTCGTTCGCTATAAGTAGGAAGAAGTAAGAAGTAGGAGTAGTTGATCACTAACGATCGATGAGAAAAAATTAAAGCACCAGTTGTGTTGGACTGGGCTGCAGTAGCCTGGCTGCGCTGAGGAGATGTGAATGCCGTCCATGAAAGCCTCAAAAGCTTGGTCTGGTGGTAGCAGAAACTGTCAATGCGGGTGTACTTTCATGTCAATTAGAGACGAAACTGCCAGCATGACGGCAGAGATATGTCTTTGAGGCGAAAGAGAAGTTAGGTTAACAAAGGCTGTTCTCGATGAGAGGGAAGTTCGGCCCGTCGACATGTGCGCTACTAAGCAGGCATCCCGCAGTAGATGCTCAAATATATGACTGAAACAAGCTCTGTTGCGTGGAATACGACGTTTTCAATCCATAGCATCTATGAATGTCTGATACAAGCTTCAGTATTCCAGCAGGTCGTGTTAGATCGCTCGCCAGTACGTGGCTTCGGCCCAGCCCTTCAAAACTGGGAAATCGGTGGCAGCTTCGTCCACACCACACTCGTCTTCCACTGCGCCCAACGACGTACTGGCTAAGGGCATGGCACTGGTATTCTGGATGAAACTATCCACATGGATCTATTCATGGCCCTTGGGTGATAATGTCCAGAAAAATCCAATCCAAGAACGTTGAGGACTGTCATGTTATCACAGACGGCACCACTGAGCCGAGAACTACGTGCCTGTATGTAAAAATGCAGTATCCCACAACCCTCCATAACAATTAGTCTTCATCGAGAAAACAGAGGGAATGTTGCGAAGCTGGCATGGTAAAGCGATGTGGTCGATGGGCTTGCTGATCCTCCAACAATAGGCTTCCTTCAACTGCAACTAATACTCGTGGCTGGGACAGTTCACAACACAGGAGTCGATCTAGCTGGAAGGCGGATGCAGAAGATCTAAGGGCTTCAATAGTGTGGGACAGTAACTATTAGTCTCGCAGTATTAGCATGGCACTTGCGTGCAGTGGTTGTGACATGAGGGCTGTTTTCCAGAACTGGCAGAACAGAGAATACTTATTGGAGGAACAGCTCAACCATCAACGGCGTAAGTTCTTCTGGGCAAAGGGCCGAATCAAACAGAACAGGGCTGGTTCTTTGTTCCCGATCGCCCTCGGACGCTCGACTGACTGGAAACTCGCATGGTCGACAGAAGATCTTCCTAACGAGCCAGAGGCGGCGTGTACAGGGTTTCTAGTTCGGAATCAGGAATCATGCCTCGAGTGCTAGATTCATCGTTTGGGTGGAGGAATGCAGATAGGGATGTTAAAGAGGCAGGCGGGATACGCAATCGGCTTCAGCTGCGTACGAAGCCATCATTAGTGGTTTGAGGTCCGAAACCAAAGGCAAAGATGGGGGTAAAGTTGCATACTGACTGATCATATTCCGCGGGTAGCATTCCAACGCCAGCTATATTCTGTTGAGGTCTACTCTCAGATTCCTAAGTTTCCCAGGATCCGACCCGACTTTCGGAAATGTCTTGGTGAAGAGTCCGATGTTATCGCCCGATTAGTGATGCGAGGTTGTTCTTTCGTTGATGACCTTTGAAGTAAAGAGGATACACACCAAATCGACGAAAGACTTAAGGACGATCCTGCCAACAGTGTCGCGGGTGCCGAGGAAAAGTGTTTTCGAAGTTCGTAGCGTATTACAATCCGGATCATCACAGGTAGATCTCGTGAAGGTGTTCGAGGCCGTGATATCTGCATCTATTCCATGGCCGAGGTACCGTCCAAGATGACTGGGTGTTATGACGGAGGTATTTCGCAGTCGGTAGTGAATAAGTGAGTCGTGGAAAGAACTTGTGCGGTCTAGTCAATAGTATATATGTCAACTTGGACGCCGGCCTTCAGTGTTCTTGTTTCCCAAGCGACAGCGTTGGGCTTCGCGGTGGTTTTGGTGATCGTTGCGTTGAAACGTACCGACAGGTTCGCCGGATAGTAGCCAGCATTCAATTGAAGAATTGCAGATTGACACCGAAGATAATACCACAAAAATGTGTGTCAAGCCCGTAGAGGGCGGCTGGTTAAACAAGCCGTTTGTTGTCCGCTTATCCGTCAGCATACGGCCCTAGCACTTGAACGACTTAATGGACACTGTCGTCGTCAGCAGAACGATGCCAGCCCGCAGATACGGATGCAGAACCAACCAAAGTTAAACTAGCTAGCAAAGGTGGTCGCTCACACTTCCCCTCCACAAATCCATTGCCGGCGAAGGCCCCTATAGACATGTCTGACGCATGCCGCCGGCTGGATCGCCTCCGCGCGACAACGTGCTCGAGCTGCTACGGAAAGGAGAATATTGTTCGTGGCTTGTTCCGTCACGGCGGAAGTCTTTGTGCGGTCTGCTCAGTTGTTACACGCAGCATCGTTCGTCCGAGAGGTGACGGTCCGCGCGGCGCGGTGGACTGGTACAATGAGGCCGTTGCGGGACAGAAGATAACCCGGATGCCAATTCTTACTTGAGCAAGGCTCTTGGTGATGCCGTCCATTGTTATTATACCGTCCTTAGCGAGGCCAAGAATAACAGCGTTGGTAGCTCGCATATGCCTCGTGATAATCACGACCAGTATGACTGACAATGGTGTCACACGATACTTGGCTGGACGTACTTCTTATGCAGTGGAGTGTTGTCATCGCTTCATGAGCTTCGTGGAAGTGAAGCCTCGGTCAGATTTGACCAAACCTGAATCGAATATAGTTGTTCTTCGCCAGACCTATGGTAATGGCTCTAGATTGGAGACACCATGATCATCCATACCTCATAAACCGTCCCAACCGTTACTATGTTTCCTGCGACGATCACTTCCACTCATTTCCTCATTGTCGCGGTCTGAGCCGGAGAAGACGTTTCCTGATACCCGTCGTGGCTCTGTTGTACCACACTTGGCTGCTTCTGATTAATGAGCTCGATCAATGAACCCCAACTGTGACAGTTTGGAGCGATCCTGTGTTCTGTTAGAAGGTTTGTGGCACAGAGTGGAGAGATCAGAAAATGGAGATCTCTAGGGGTAACTGCATTCATGTCTGGCCTCCTTACACTTTGTTGGATTGAGCTCCCTTTATAGCTCTTTGGTTGACCCCTGGTGGGACAGTGGTTTCCTTCTCCTTTGTCTCCTCTCGATGTCCCCTCAGTCTCTCAATCTCCACCTCCTTCACAGCGCCGTCCGTGACACAACCCTTCCAATCCCTGAATTTCGTAAGTGACACGTTGACATCGAATTTGTGCTCTGCGGCTGCGGGCAAGGCCATATGTTGCTTCAAGTTTATCCCCATGGGAGGATTCGCGTGGCTGGTGGTTGAAGTCTAGGATTAGGACCACCTTCTGGTCAGGCACGTCGATGCACTGGCAACGGCTTATGTTTCTGTAGGATCGTGTTTGTCAGTTCTTGTGAAAGTCGCATGTCGATGGAGATATTATGACTCAACATGGAAATTCATGGGTGGCAATCGGCAACATTCGTCTTCCTATGGACGTCGTATTGGGTGACCTAGTCGTTCAACCTCGGCGCGCCTGGGCTATAGAGCTAGCCACTGGGTATCCGCCCGCCCGTCCCCCAGATACCGAGTGCGGTCGATGTGCATGGAAACATCGATGTAGACTCGAATCTGATGTCAAAGAGGCCATCCTCTGATGGTCACCGTGGAACATGAGGTGGAATACCGTATTGCAACTCAGAAGACACCCACGCCGTGTTCTTACTGCACGCATGCTCGGTCAGGAGATTCTGGAACGCATACTACAAGATG